GAAACTCTACTTCCTCAGACGGCTGAGACGAGCTGGTCTGGGAAGCTCAGTCCTCACCTCCTTCTACAGGTGTGCAGTGGAGAGCATCCTGTGCTCCAGCATCAACGTGTGGCATGGAGGCTGCACAGCTGCAGAAAGAAAAGCTTTGCAGAGAGTGGTGAAGGCTGCACAGAAGATGTTGGAGTCAGTCTCCCCACCATCACAGACATCTACACCTCCAGATGCAGGAAGAGGGCCACCTGCATCATGAAGGACCCCACTCACCCAGCACACACACTTTTTGCCCCACTCCCCTCAGGAAGGAGGTTGAGAAGCATTAAGTGTAGAACCACTAGACTGAGGAACAGCTTCTACCCTGAGTCTGTTAGACTCATGAATCTCTAACTAGAATAATCACTGTGAAAAATCATACCATGTTGCTGCTGATCTGTTTCATGTTGCTGCTGATCTGTTTCATGTTGCTGCTGATCTGTTTCATGTTGCTGTGTTCATGCGTGCTCATCTGCTCACACAGACTCATGTTCGTGCTGCTGTTCGATGTATTATTTTATGCTATTAGTGCTCAGTGTATATTTAGTTGATGTTTTTCTTAGTTCATATCTTAGATCTTATTACTTTTTTTCTTTTACATTTTATTGTTGGATGTAACTGGGACCCTGTGTACACAATCTCGTTCCACCACATGTACCACATGGGGTGCAAATGACAAAGAAACTGACTGACTGACTCTGAAGGAGGTCGTCTTTGTGAAGAGAACCCGTCCATCATTAAACAGGGGCGGAGCCTCCTCTTACAATGTTGTTATTGTATCACTCAGCCCTCTGTGAATAGCAAGCAGCCATCAGGGCACTAACGATCAATTATTAGGCTGATGGTCCCTCTTTTATCATGTGAACAGCTAGTTCTGGATGTCAACAACAAACTGGTTGATCCACTATGAGAAGGTGCTATTTATAAGACTGAGTTTGTTGCAGCTCCTCAGACTGAAGAAGTCTTTTGGATAAAAGACGAAGCGTTTCAAGAAGAATCCATCCAGAGGACCTGACTCCACCTGGTTAGATAAGCAAAAACTAGTTCTAAGCTTGGTTGGTGGCTCACGGTGAGTGAAGAGTCGTTTTGGTGACGTCAGAACTGCCAGGTGATGTGGGTCGAAGGTCTTACATTTATTTTATAAACTGAAATTGCCAGGTTTGGTTCAAATGCTTTAAGATTATAAAACTCTGGCTTTGGTTTAAATGTCTGGATTTCTGCAACGTCACAACTGGTTGTTTCTGATCAACCTAAAACTCACCAGATCCTCCTCTGTTATTCAGAGACAGGGCGTTTTAGGAGGGGATTTCAAACGTGAGTTTAAAGTAAAACAAAAATGTCGTTCTCGTCTCTTGTCTGAGTTGTTTCAGGCTGTTTCTGTGAGTAGCAAGTTGCATCTGGCCTAAAACATTTGATTGTTGTACATGACGATTGTTTTCCACATGTTAAAGCTTACTTTAGAGATTCCAACAGGAGGTTGGTTTGAAACAGCAGTGAAGGCTACTTATGGGACAGATCTGGTTGGCAGGCCGTACACTGAAGAAGTCCTCTGGATGGAGGGACAAAATGTTTCTCACTTAAAGAAACTGGTCCAGATGACATGATTTTCTGTTAAAAGAGTTGTAACTCCAAGGAACGCTCAGAAAAGAAACTGATCCAGGATCGTATTTTTTATCCCAACTCTGACCTCGTCATGCCACGTTAACGGAACAGCTGATAATGAAGACGTTAAGACATCTGATGATGTGTCTATCTATAGTCGGACATCTTGAGCTGTTTACAAGCCAACAACACCTACTTTTACTGCATTTTTTTACGGCCTGCAAGCTTTTACATCGTGTCCAGTTGCGGCTCTGAGTATTTATAACTCCTGTTGGTCCAGACTGACTCACTACATTCATTACAAAACAGCCGGCAGCAGGAGGTTCGGCTTCAGAAGATAATGGTCCAGATTTCAGGATTAAAGACTCTGTTCAGAACGGTCACCTGACCTGCTCCTGACTGGAAATAAAAGATGATTTGGTTGAACAAGGTGACGGCCCGAGGCTCCGACCGGAAGCCGGCAGAGCAGAGCGGAGGAAGTGGTGACTCCAGCCGGAGGGGGGATGGACACGCCTGGATGGCCGTGGCAGCAGGGGTGTCGCTCACACCGTGGCCCCCTCGCCACCGTGTCAACACTGATGACTTCAGCTGGCGCCCTTGTGAGCTCACCTTGCTAGAAGAGACACAGGAAGTGGGATCTGAGCTGTGACAGTGTGTGTGTGGGGAGGTGGGGGGTGGATAAGTGTGTACCTGCACTGGAGGGGGTGGATTTATTAATGTGTGTGTGGACACACATGTAGCTGCTAGCACCTCAGGGTTACCTGTGTTTATAGAGCAGATCCAGATCTGTCCAGGTCCAGATCAGAAGAACTTCAGGATTCTGCGGTCTACACTCATCTCCAGGCCAGCGGTCACTCTTTCAGGGATGAAGATGTTCACATCCTGGACAGAGAGGAACGATGGTTTGAGAGAGGAGTAAAGGAGGCCATCTTTGTGAAAAGAAACCATCCATCATTAAACAGGGGTGGAGGCCTCCAGGTTCAACTGTCCCCCTCTTACAATGCTGTGATTGCTAGTATCACTCAGCCCTCTGTGAACAGTAAACAGCCATCAGTGTGCTAATGATCCATTGTTAGGCTGATGGTCCTTCTTGAGCATGTGATCAGCTGGTTTTGGTTGTCAGCAGCAAACTGGTTGATCCACCCTGAGAAGGTGCTATTTAAGAGACTGAGCTGAATACAGCACCTCAGACTGAGGAAGTCTCTCGGACGAAAGACAAAACGTTCCTACATTTTATTTATTTATTTATTATTTATTTGAATGCCCAGAGGACCAGATTTAACTTTTTTAGATTTTTCTACCTGGATTATTGAGCATGCATCAGGATATTCAGGAGCACAAGTTGCTCCAGAAAACACTTCCTGTTTCATCCAGATCAGCTGTGATCGGTCACAAGCACCGAGAAATGAAACATGGGTACAGTTTTGTTTGTGACCGTGTTTGTCGTGTTAGCAAAATATCTCACGAATCACTGCAGGGACTTTAATTAATCTCCTAATTAGTCAATGGACATTAACTTCTGAACCTATTCATTCATACCCATCTGCTCACCACAGACTCATGTTCAGGCTGCTGTTTAATACACCGTATTATTTTACATCATTAGTGTTTAGCGTATATCTTAGCGTATATATACATTATTATATATATATATATCTTACATCCTTGTATACTTTTTCTTTTTGCACTTTATATTTTTGCTATTTTTGGGTGCCACTGGGATCCTGAGTACATAATTTCTTTCCACCTCATGCACCACATGTGATGCCAATGACAATAAACTTGACTTGAACCCCAGTTCAAGATGGCCGCCACAGTGTTTACAGATGCTGAGCTCTAATTTAACGTGGCAGTAGCTGAGAGTCATTCAGAACACAAGCTCTAGGTGTGATCACAGTGATGTGGGATTCTGCTGCAGCTTGTGAGATTACAGATTACACGAAACGTTCCAGATTTACCCAAGTCGTTTCTCAGCAGAAGATGATTTCAGGTTCAAGCTTCCTTTAAATTGATCTCCATCCTATCGACTCGTTTTAAACTGTTCAAATAAGCAGGTTTTGCTGTATTAAAGTGATAATGAGATATTCAAGTAACAAAATGATTCTAAATGAAACCATGTTTAGGGGAACCTGTAAACATATGCTGATTAAATCCAGCATTTCTTACGTGCATCCTGACGTGTGGAGAAACTCAGGAAGTTTCTGAAAGTTCTGTTTGCTGCTCAGAGACAGAAACATTCCTCTGCGTTCAAACATTTAATCTGTTTTCAACAGAAACGTCGTCCCCATCAACACCTTTCTGGGTTTTACAGGCCCTGATTTAAGTTTAATCCAATAAAATCTCAGTTGTTCAAAAGTTTTATGTTTTGACCGATAACAGATTCAGGTTCATTTAAATGGTTAAACGTTTTATTTTGTTAATCCATGTTCCCTAATTTCACACTTTAGATGTATTTGCTGAAATAAAATACTTGTTTTTCTTATTGTATGTTCAGCCACAACAAAATGAAAGTATTCTTAATAACTTTTATTGAGCATCAGAATAACTTTTAAAGTTTGTTTTCTCACATTAAATAAAAAAAAAAGTGCTTTATATGAAAAACGTGGCATAAAAACTAAAAACGCTTGAAGAGCCAAACTTTCTTTCTGAGAATGACTGGAATGGAAAGTGAAGCGGATGATTCAGTTTATGGTGAAAAACAAAATTAAAAAAAAGGAAGAAAAAAAACAATGTGGGCGAAACTTTCCTCTTTTTATCAAACTATTATAATTATTTTAATAAATTACAATAAACGGCAGTTTAGAGGAATGACCAAACGGCTGCAGATTTAAGTTAATTAAAGCAAAAAGAGTAAATTTTTACATTTGATTAGTTTTAAATTACTGATTTTGCACAACTTACTTTATTTAAAAGTAATTAAAAATAAACACCTTTGAATTATTTATGTTGGAGGATGAATAAAAATATCCAAAACCTTGTGAATAATACCAGGCGTCATGTTGTGAGTAAACCCCCGAGACCGAGAGGTTACAGGGCAGTGCGCGCGCGCGTAATGATTGGAGTGGGGGGGGGGTCTGTCAGGTCCTCCCCTCCGCACCAGACACTCCTCCACAACATGACCACTTGGGTTGAAACGCAGAGCGTGCGTGTGAGTCTCTGCTGGTGTCAGTCTCTCAGACACTCCTGGAGGAAACAACAAATTAAAAGTTTGTAAAATAGTGCGAACGGAGCGCGTGAGGGATGTCGGCGCGCTTTGACTCACCAGCCCAGACTCCGCTCGCCTTCTTCTGATTTTTTTTTTATGCTTATTTTTGATTCTGAGTTCAACTTATGACATTTGCCACCTCAGTCCGGGAGCGGGGCTGCGCATGGGCGGCACCGGCGGCACTTTGTTCCTCAGCATGTTGAATGGCACTGAAGCGCAAACTCCCGGCATCAGCGCGCACCTCCACCGCGGCGGGAAGGACCTCACCGAGTTCAAAATGGGGATCCAGGACGCCAGGTTCTATTACCCGGACTCGGTCCAAGGCGGGCAGGACTCGCTGGCCCTGCAGTACCACCCGGACCAGGCGGTGGGGGGGTACGGAGCGCAGCCCGGCCGCTTTTACGCGCAGACGCTGAGCGGCGGCGTGCGCTCCCCGCCTCGGAGCGCGGCGGGACAGGGGTACATCCCGGCGGCCGGGGACGGCTTCCACCCCGGAGGGAAGGACGTTTACTCCCCCTCTGCGGAGGGCTACCCGGGGGGGTTCCAGCACGGCTACCAGCGGCCTCTCTACCCGCTACCTGGGCTACAGGTGTGCGGGAAGACCCAAGTTCTGCTCAACAACTACCCGCTGTGGGCCAAGTTCCACAAGTTCCAAACTGAGATGATCATCACCAAACAGGGCAGGTGAGTTCCACCAAACTCTCCAAGTGATTATTCTCATTATATTAGAAGAGTCCTTGTTTAAAAAGAAAAAGCTGAAAAAACCGCGCGTTTGTTCCAATTTAAATCACGGAAACTCTTCAAGTTTTAACTTTTAAGACTTTTGTTCTCGTTGGATCTTTCCAGTCCTCCTGTGCAGGCCTCATACTTTGTTTGAAAATTAACAAACATCTCAAATTCAAATTGGCTAACAATGGTAATTTGTGCAAAACTAAACACGTTCATGAAGTTGTAAAATTTAAATATTTTAAATAGTAAGACTGTTTTTTTTAATATATATAAAATTCAGTTTGACCTTTTGCGTCACTGCAGCTCCTTCACTTTCATCAATTCTCCTCAAAAAGCAAAAAAAATTCTAACAATTTTCCACCAAAAAGCCCAAATAATTTTAATTCGTCTAAATAAAACATATGATTTCAACATTCGGGTGTGTCTGCTCAGACACAGGATGGCAGCTACAAAACTTTAAGAACAAAAAAGAGGATTTTAAATGTGATGGTTGAAGAAAAGGACAAGGAGAGAACTGTTTTGGGAGGCGCTGCCCACTGGGCTCCTGTGCAGGTCACCGAGCATTAAGCTGCAGGATTAATCCACTAATATGTGTCTGACAGAAGGTTTCAGGCCAACGAGTCTCATGTGCAGAAAACAACTGATTTGTCACAACAGGACGGTGATATTTCTGCTGAAGACTCGTTGCTTTTTATTAAACTGCTTAAATACATGAAACAAACACATATTGGAGTTTCAAAGTTTTTAACCAAGAAGAAAGATCCAGGTGAAAAGTTGCAGCTCGTGTCATTTCTGCAAAATATTCCCCTTTCACCTTCATACTGGTTTTACTTTCACACTCAGTCTGCTCCTTTCTTTAAAGATCATTTTATTTTAGTGCTTTTTTATTTTTATTTTTTAATGCATCTTCACAAATGTTTGAAGTTGTGATGGAGGCAAAAAAAAAAATCTGATGAAAATGTGCATTTTAGCTGTTTCTTTTCATGTTTACGTGCGTGTGCCGCCTGACGTTAAGCGGCCTCGACAGGTTCCTGTGCAGAAACACTCACTGTGGTCACCGTTACCCGTGAGGTCATGCCATTAAAATACATTTTAAAAGCAGCTCGTTTCAGATTTGACTTTGGAAACCGTAAAAAAAATAATGTGAATAAACTGTGGAGGTGTTTTTCAATCATTTGAGGAAAAAGTAACACATAATGTGCAAAAAAAAAAAAAAAAAAAAGCCACAAACCTCAAATTACTAAAATGTGAAGACGATGACAACGCTGTTCGGCTTTTATTTTTTCGTCTTGCTCGCACACGGAAGCAAAGACTTGCAAAAGAAAGCCACAACAGCAGAAAAAGGATATTTTTTATACGTCTGAGGCAAAATCCCCCTAAATTATTTATCTTGGTTTCAGGCCTCCAAACTAAATTTGCTGTGATTTCAGAGAGGGGGTCTGAGGCTCTGCAATGTTAATCATAAGAGGAGAGATTGAAAGGGGTGAGAGGAGACGGGTCAAACAGCAGCGAGGCTTCAGATGGCCTCGCCGAGGAACCTTTGAAGTGCAGGAAGTGAGAGACCAGATTCCCTTTTTTCTGCTGTTCTTCAGCACAGTCGGGCAGATCTCTCAGAAGCTTTGCTCGTGTGCCACTCCTGGCCTTTGAAAACCTGCACACATGTTCATGACCTGTGGCAAAGAGACGACTTGATCTGCACCCCTCGCAGGTCGACGCCGTCTCATGCTCTGCGCGTCCTGTTCGACTGAGGCAGAGTTCACCGAGGCCGCGTGCAGCCGGGCGTCGACACGTTAACGCAAAGGATGAAATCGCATCAAAGAGGTTCATTATCCAGGTGTATTGTTATGAAATGTGGGTCTGCACTCAATGTAAACAAAGGCCTCAGCTGAACCACGTGCTCGCTCGAGTCACGTGACGGCTGATGTCTGCGAGCAAATGTTCTCGATAAATTGGCCCTTTCCAAGTCACTTCAGCTCGTTCTGGACGTGAACAAACACAGGTGGCTCAAATTTTACTTTGAAATGTTTAATTTCAGAACAGACTGACAAAATAACAAAACGAGTACTTTAACACCAAAACTCTGGATTTTTTTAAAAAGTGTGATGCGAGTAAAGTTGAAACAGGGGACTGACTAAGGCAGTACCGATTGTTATCCACCTGACGAGGGTTTCTTAACTTTATATTACTCTCCCATCAACTTTAAAGCAGCCCAAACCACAATATGTACCCCCACAAATGTTATATTAAAATGGCCGTGATGTGTACTACTTTCATTGATGTTCGAGTTACCATGGCGACAGACTGCAACAAAGAAGCCATTTTTCTTATTCAAAATGCCTGACTGAACTCAACGGCTTCTAACTCAATTATTCTTTGAGATGTTGAGATGAAATTTTGTGTGGCGATACCTGAGAACGTTTACCATCACATACTGAATCCAAATCAAAATCCAAGATGGCCGTCTTAGCTAAAATGGAACAAAAAAAATTTGATAACTGCCATATTTAGAGCTATTCAGCTGAAATGTGGTGCATTGGTAGCTGAGCGCGAACCCAAACACATAGTGCTGTCGAATCAAATTAAATTGGCGGCAACTTTCTCCAGGAACTTTTCTAGTTTTTACTTTTTATTATTTATTCATTTGGCCAATCTGCTGATCCCACACCACCCGGGGAGTTATTGGTTCAGACGCGAGTCCAAAAAAAAAAAAAGGCAGACTTTTCCAATCAGTGGTTTGTAAGAACCTCTGAGGAGAACTTTTATTTGTGGAATCTGCAGCTTAACACGCCACGATTATTTTGAAATAAATAAAATTGTTCCTGTAACCGCAGCACGTAGCTGAACGCTCTTAACGATTGGTAATAAATCCTAAAATAATGAAAAGTTCTGCTCAGCTGCGTTCTGAGGAGACGGGTCTGACTAAGATCTCTTCTTTGCAAACGTTTTAGGGAAATGATGTCAACCTTCAGAGGAAGCTCATCTGCTCTCTCTGCTCCGCTGAGTCCAAACGGCAATAAGCATCAGTTTGATGCTTCTTCAGAGGAAATAAATAATCCTTTCATTTGTTTTGCTCTTAAGAATAAGGGAAGGTTCTGAAATGAGAGGCCGAGGTCCAGTTTCAATCAAGATGGACTTATCACAGATAGTACTCAGCTTTAAGAGGATGTGTAATCATTTCCCCTTCCTAAATTATTAAAAAATAGGTTGTATTTTGGAAATTAATCAATAAAATAAATGTGGACGTGCCAATTTAAAGGGACATTTCACCACATTCATATTAAAACCAGACAAGAATAGATTTAAAAAAGCCATTTTAATGTTTGGAAAGCGTGTCTATTCGTTTCTCGCCATCTGAAAGCAGAAGTTGGGCCTATTTCAAGGTTTTGATGGTATGACCATCACTTCCTGTTCAGCTGTCTATGGGTGCCTGTGCAGCTTTTCGCAGAAGCATAGAGCCAATATTTTCACTCAGCTAAACAAGTTCTTCCTCCTTTCGTGCAAACGACCTCGTCTAATAAAGCAGTGTTTCGAGTCCACCGCGCTCCGAGCCGCAGGCCCCGAAAACAGAGTTATTTTTCACCTGCGTTTCTATATTTGGATTTTAAAAAAGCAGAAAAGGTAGAGCTAATTAGATGTACTGCTGATAAATCCAAACGAAAGAAACGAGCTGAACCCACGAGGTTTCATATCTGAAGTGTTTATATTCCATCCCTTTTTTAGAGTCAACCACTCTTTTCAGCTAAAACTGGCCACCATAAGCACCAACGTGCATGTCAGTCCAAGACCGTTTGTCTGTGATTAATGTGGTTTTTCTTTAAATTTTCATCAAAATGACTCAAAATGTTCATTTCCAGATGTTTGAGCAGGTGTTTCACTCCCTCCGCACGCCGTATTTATTGTTTCTATACAACCGTTTAGTGGATTTGTAGAGATTTTTCCACACGTCTCTTTAAGAAACGCTCGTTAGTGCCGTTTCTACGCAAAGTGAATAAAAACCGTGTCGAGAAATAAACAGTGGCAGTCACCGAGAGGCTTAAAGTCACTCGTAGTGTTCCTCAGTCAGGAGAGAGAATTGTTATTGTACTTTTTATTCAAAATGTGGCTTCTGTCGTCAGCAGGGCTGTAATGAGACACAACCCACAAGATAAGACTAACAGAATTTAATTTGAGATAAAAGGTTTGGCCACAAACTCAACTGACTGGTCTTGAATCAGAACTTGAAACGATTCTTCAGCTCAGAGGATTAAACTTATTCACACGAAGAGCTAAAGTTAAAAATCTGATCCAAGGCTACAAATAAATCAGTTTTTCACATAGTTTTGCATGAATACTTTCACACAAACATCTATCCCATCAGTCAGAACGTAAAGTTAATAAAATACTCGTGTCTTATCACTTTTTTACTGTTTTAATGAAACGATTGTCCCAAAGTCCGTCTCTCAGGGAGCGACTGCATTTAGTTTCACCTCCACAACAAAAAGGTGGACTCTTTTCTTAAAAACTCAAATTAATAAAGAAGTTCAAGCTTTATTTTCTCAAATAATCGTGTGAACGCAGCTGATGTTTGTGTTTTTAATTAAAGTGCGGTCAAAATTTTCACACCTGGATTTGCAGTCGAGGTGCTAATTTCACCAAAGACTTTTTCAGATGCAAGTCGATGCAGACGTAAAATGACTGATTAGATTAAAAAATGTCAAAAATTTACCATTTTTTAATGTCGGTAACTTATTTTGCAATTGTATTAATCTGATATGTGAAGATGTTTTATTGTTTAAAAAAAACACACACGCTTACACCTAAAAACATGGAATTAAGAAAAGTTAAATGAATTAAATTTGGAGGTAAATCTGGTTTTATAGAGCCCACAACACAGTGGAAATGCTTTCTGTTGCCAATTTTATTTATTTGCCCACATTTAAATGAATACTTGTCGTTTATTTTAGAGGTTTAACACA